AGCTCTATCTATAACTAGCTAACATAACATATTAATGTACAACTAATATATACCTCTTATAGGCATCTTAGCAAAGACCCTAGCAGAGTAGATAAATATTAAAAATTAAGTAAATAAGATTAAACTATTAAATAACACACTTAAAAAGAAGCTTAATTTATACGCAGCTAACTTAATTATAGAACTCTGCGCGTTAAGCGCAACAGATGTATGTACACTTAAGAACTTTTAAAACAACTTTATAAAGTAAAAGCTTATACACTTTAAAGATCTTAGCTAACTATTTTTATAAAAACTAATTACTACTCTATAGAATAAGAGTATTAGCTTTAAGAAGGACATAATAAAGGCTACTACACTATATAAACTTATAAAAAAAGAACACATGTTTACTATTCTACTAAAGCATTATATAAAACTATTACTACTATTACTAGTCTTAACGCAATAGAGGATGTCTCTGTATAAATTACCTGTAGACCTAATACTTCCTTTATAATTAGTACAACTACCTTGCAATAGCTTACTGTATAAGAGCACAACTAGGCAGCTACATATTCCTGTAGCTATAGCTCTGCATAAGATTCTCTAAAGCTTGTACCTACTGCATATAATTTAATTACTATAAGATCTATACTAACTTCTACTTATACAAGATATTACAGCAAAGAACCTTGCGCCTAAGAAGGTTATATAATTCTAGAAAGTATAAAGAAAGGAGAACAACTACATAAGGCAACTATATAATATTTTAGCTAATAAAGCTATAGTATTTATTAAGCTCTACTAACACTTTACTATTTTTAAGGCATTATATATAAGCATTTTTCTTAATATTTTTAAAAGGCGCGCACACATGTTCTACCTTTATAATATTAGTCTAGAATAATTATAAAAGTTACTGTATAAGCAGCTTAGTAATTACTTTAATACTAACATAAACTATAACTAGTATTAGACAGATTAGATAATAATAAGCTTTACATAAAGTAAGTAAAAGAACTTTATAAAAACTTTATATAAAGCTTTTAAAGCTATAATTAATAAACTTACTTTTATATAAAAAGCTTTTAGTCTATAATTTTAAGGTAAGATACTGCTTTACACTACTGTTATATAAGCATGCTAAGGGCAATTTAAACTTAAATAAGCAATGTTCTTAATTAAGCCTATGTATAAGGCACTATATAGTAACCTCTGTTTAGCACTTTAGGTTATAATTAATTAACAGAATAATATATTTATAAATAAATTCTAAAACGTGTACTACACTAATAGGTAATATAGCTTACTATGTACACATAGCTATTAACAACATAGAAGAAGCCTAAGGGGATATAAAGAATTATTTAGACTACAGTTCTTTACATAATTAAAGTAATGCTTTGTCTGTTATAAAAAAGAATGTTAGTTAATAAATTATTCTTATATAGATTAATTTTATGTAAAACACTAATATATCTTTTTATATAAAAGATTCTATAACAAGACACTAATATATAAAAAGGTAAATATGTACATTTAAAAGTTTAAAAGTAAACTAAAGTAAAAAAAAAAAAAGTTACATAACAATAATAACTTAGATAAAAAGAAAGGTAAGAAGATTATTAACTACTTTACTAATGCTATATTTCTCTACTGCGCGACTGTAGAGGACATCTACAGCCTAGAACCTAAAGAATACGCAGAACAGTTTATCCTTAAAAATTAATACTATACAGTATACTAAGGTAAACTATAAGATACTAGCGTAGTAAGGATCTTTACTATAAGGAAGTTATAACTTAAAGCATACCTATAAAAATTCCCTTATATAAAAGTAGACTAAACACTAAGAAAAAAAAGTATTAGCTTTAAAAAATAAAAATTAATAAAATTAATTAGTACTATATAAATTACTAACCTAGTTAGTAACATAACATATTACATTCTAGACACCCTAACACTGTTCCTACTGTCTCTAGCAGACGTAGACTAAATAGGTGCGTACTTTAACAACATGCAGAATGTAATTGTACAAAGCAATAGAAATACTGTTCTAGTTATATAAAAATAGAGTTATCTATTCTTTAATATATAAAAAAAGAAATTAATGTTCTTTTTTACTAAACATAAACTTTAACAACTACATAAAAGATTTAGCTATCTTTATATAAAACAACTTTACATAATGCTTAAAAACACTAGACATAATGTTAATCTTTCTATACTTAAGAAGATTAAGAAATTCTGCTACATATGTTAGCTACATAACTTAGCACTATAAAGATTTAAGTTTATAATTAAAAATAACTTACACTTTAACTATAAAATAGTAATTAATGTTATATAAATTAGTAACTAAAATGTACTACATGTAATTAACATAGATATATTATTCTAAGTAGCAACCTTCTTAAAATTAATGTCTACACAAGATACCTAGAACGCGCTTTACAAGTGTTAGATTAACACATACTAAGGCTTACTTAATTATATTATATATAACTCTAGTATAAACTTTGCATCTAAAGACTTTTAGAATTACGCAAAGATTGTAAGAGCAACGTGTTAACAGATGCTAGTAGAGGCCTATTAGGCTCTAGGGAAGATTAAGCGCGCGCACGCACTACTGCAACGTGCGTACAATATCCTCTGTGCAGAATTAGATAATTATATAAACAATAAGTTAGTGTTATAGATAGCTGTTAAAGCCCTAAATAATATAGTAAGACTAAACAGTCTTATACCTATATTACTTATATTTAGAATGTACCTAAGAATTAACATAGATTTTACACTATCCTCTAATATTATTACACAAGCTAATGCTGTATAAAAGGTAATAAAAATGCTTTAAAGTAAAAAAGTAAAAGTTAATATTAATTATATAATTAATACCTAAAATAGCTTAACTTTATATAAAGTACTAAATCTCCTACTTAGTTCTAAAGTAAAAACATAGTAAGAGAAAAAGGGATAGACAGGACTACACATAGTAAAGGGAATTAAGGCCCTAGACATTATTATTAAGATAGAGAATAGTCTAGTAAGACTTTACTGCACATAAGTTATACTATATTATTGTATAAAAAATAAGGATAAACCTGTATAAGAATTGCTAGATCTAGATAAACTAGATCTAGTACAAAGAGATTCTTTACAGGCATAAAAGAGAGGTTGCCTACGCAAGCAACTAACCTTAGTTAATAAACTACATAAAACAGCCCCTTAAGTAGTATTAGATTTATTATATAAACTAAAACTAAAACTATAGATAGCTAAAAAAGGCTAAGAGAGACTACATAAAAATCTATAGGCTACAATATTTCTAACCTAAAAGGAAAAGAAAGACTACACACTAGTAATTAAGCTCTATGCAGACAGTGTAATCACAACACCTAGGAGACTATTTAAAGAATTAGACTATATAAAAATAAAAAGTCTAATTATAAGTAGCATATTTAAAGTACTTTTATATAATTTATTAATTTATAAGGGACAGATTTTTAACCTTTAACTTATACATAAAGTTAAAGGGAAATTAATAAAACTATATAAAAAGTTATAACTTATATTTATAAAACATTTAGATAAGAAGAAGAAAAAAATTCTTATATAGTTTTCTATAATTTAGAAAATAAGTTAAAAGTTAATCTTAGCTATTAGCTTATTACTAATAGCTTTATATAACATGCACTATAAACTATGTAATATTACTTAGGTATATGTATAATTAATAAATAAGCTTATTTGCACTTTCTTTGTACAACTACTAAAAGAACTCTATAAAAGCTTCTCTTTACACATAATATTTAAAGTTATATAACTACTATACAGCGCAGTAGAGTTAGGCTTGTATTAGTTTAAGACATACTATAACTATTATAAAAATAGACTTTTTATAAAAACCTTATTATATAATCTATGCTTATTAATTATATATAAAGGCCTAATAGTGTTTAGTATTATAGGACTACAGATAGATAATACTTTTAGTATTATTATAGCTAATTTTACATAAAAAGAGAAAAAAAAATTACTTTAAGCTAACTTTTAAGTAAAGCCTAAAACTATACTATTGCATAATTAAGCTATTTAATTTAATAAAGAAAAAATTTACTTTATATAAAATAATATTATTCTTATATAAAAAGGTTAAGCTAGGAATCTACACATAATAGAGTCTAAGGTAGAGGATGCTGCGCAGAAGTACGTTAAACAGCGCGCGCAAGGTGCCTATATTGCATTAGTATGTTAACCTAAGGCAGCATTTAACCTGTCTACTACTGCTTAAGTTATGTTGCTGTTGTATAATAATATTAAGGCATTAAATGTACAAATCTAATAGCAAATTAATAACTAGAATAAAAAATTATTATATGTACTACTTAATCTTTTTTATATAAAGTTGTTTATCTTTACTAATAGATTATTTATAAATAATAAGGACTTAAGTTTATAGCTTAGCTTTTTTATTATTCTTAAAACTAAGTAGTAAACTAGAAACTTATATAACTTTAAAATTATAAGTAATATTATACACTAGAACTTTTCTAAGTGTAAACGCGTTACCTGCTCTGTCCTAGCTAGTAAGCTGTACAGAATAGTGGGAGGATTTAACTGCGCAATTACACTAAGTACAACTATTAACTAGATTACATGTATGCTTAGAATACCTCTTATACTTATTGTACTATGCACAGATTTAAGATCTCTGTATAAATGTCTTATAAAGCTTAGGATAACAAATAAAAAAAACTTATAATTAATATTATGTTAATTTAAAAATTATATAAGAAAAGAGAGATTACAGAGATTAAGTAGATGTAAGGCTAAGATGGCGCTTACGTGCGACAGGTATATATACTATTCTGCACCTGAAAATCAACGTTGGTTGATTATTCGTACCTTTTAGTTGTATTAGCAGAGTGGTGCGGAGCCCTGTCCTTACATAATAATTAACTAACAACAAGGACGGTCGCGCGTTTGACCCACACCTTAGACAGCTTTGCTAGTTTTTAGACTGAAACGTAAGGCGGCCTCTTCTGGCGCCACGTTGTAGCTGCTGGGAGGTCTAGTGTGTATGGCTTAGCTGGCGTGGCCACTGAGCGTTGCGTCGTGTTTATCCCGCGCCTCTGGGCCGCAGGTGGTTAGCCTCTGGCCGGTAACTGAGACATGCGCATGGCGCCTCTGAGCTGCGGGTAGGTCATGTGACGCCTGGGACATGCGTCTGCTAAGAAGGGGGATAATGTAAGGCTGAGATGGCGCTTACGTGCGACAGGTATATATACTATTCTGCACCTGAAAATCAACGTTGGTTGATTATTCGTACCTTTTGGTTGTATTGGCGGAGTGGTGCGGAGCCCCGTCCTTACAGTAGATTAATAAAAGGGATAACCCTACAAATGCCTATATAAAGAAGGCGCTAAACTTTGCTCTTAAAAAACTAATTTTATATAACTAACTAACTATTAGAGTTAAAGTGTTAGTTAACAGACTTAAGCCTATACAAGATAGGCAAAAAGGGCCCTACAGTAACCTATCTACTATATGTGTAAATAAGGCAAGTCTTGTATAAAGAAAAAATAAAAAGTTGCTAATGTCTAAATAGTAATATTTAGGCGCCTAGTTAATAGTCACGTGGCTTAGATGCGCCTAGATCCCTGTGCATAGAGATCTGTGCGCAGAGTTTAGGACTATATTAACCCCTTTCCTTTGTACAATAGAAACAACAAGAAGAATCAACACTAGTTACCCAACACCCCCGTGCGATGTTTACACCGTGCAAACCTCTCCGTCTCGTACGCATTTGCTGACACCAAGTGCTAGCTAGCAGAGAGTCCATTCAACAAATATAGCTTATATTATGCTTAGTGTGTAAAGAATTAGCTATATTAGCTATAGCTACTAGCTAAGGGGGAAATCCTTACGCATCTAGCTTAAGTATATGCTAAATAATTACTTACTTTTTATTATTATCTAGCTTTTATAAGTTAGCTGTATAATTAGCTTAGAAAAGTTATCTAGTGTGTTAGTTACTTATTATCTTTTAAAAAACTTTATAAATAGCTGTAGTGTGTTAGTTAAAAAGTGTTATGTTTTATTTAAAAGCTTAAAGTGTAAGCTACATTTAACATTTCTTTAACACATTTAAGTAGTGTTGTTAGAAATGCATTAGTGTAGAAAAAGTAGTGTAGTAGAGTCTTAGTAAAAGTAAGCAACTTAGGTGTGTAAGCAACTCGCCTATAAAGTACGTTAAGATAATAAGAAGGAAAATTATAATATACACTATAAGCAAGTTGCTTACACACCTAAGTTGCCTACTTTTACTAAGACTACACTAAACTACTTCTTCTACCCTAATGCATTTCTAACAAAACTAGTTAAATGTGTTAAAGAAACGTTAAATATAGTTTTTACTTTATACTATATAAAAGATCTTTTGTTACAATCAGCATGCTCAAGCTACAAGCAAGAGGTGGTGTAACCTAACTAGATTAATCTAAGGAGCAGAGGAGCTGCTCTGCGAGTTTAAAGATACATGTGTGCCCTCTTCCAAGGTGCTACTTGTTGCGCAAGCGAGGGAGCTGACCTGTAGAGCATGTGACGCGGTACGCGCCGTCACATCTTTACACTTATCTAAGCTAGAGATTTACGTAGAGTCTTATACTCTGTAATTTTACGCTTCTATTAATTATAGTTAGTAGCATAGTTAGATAAGCTCTTTATATCTATGTTAGAGAGTTTAGTAGCGTTAGATTAATAATTATTATATGTTAGTTTAATAAGTTTGTCTTCTAGTATCCTCACCTTCGCTGCTAAGAGCTCTAGGTTGTAGTATTCCTATACAAACAGCTGCTACGCAACTAACTTTTAAGGGTAGATCTATTAGTTCTAGTTATTAGTTATATTAAAGATAATTATAGACTTTAAGACTAGTTAATTAGTAGAGTCTGTTATATTAATAACATAGTTAAAGGTTGTGAAAATTAACCTTGCAGTAGACAAGTATGTTCTTAAGATTAACGAGTTTGTTCTTATAGTAGACGAGTTTGTCCTTGCGGTGGACGAGGTTGTCCTTGAGGTGGACGAGGTTGTTCTTAAGGTGCTCGACTGAGAGCTTTGGTGGCGTACTAAGGAGATTGTAGAGGTCGCGATTGATGCGACTAGTAAAGTAGAGACTTTAAGTCTCCTCTTTAGACCACAAGGTTAAGATTAGTGTAACAAAGAGGTTACAATTGTATGCAGGGTGTTAAAGAAGCTCTCTCTAGTATAGGTTTGAAAACAGCTTGATTAACTAGCAAGCAATTGCTAGGCTCATAACTGTGAAGCTATGTGAAGCGCTAGAGGCATGAGGAACTAGATTGTATTGATTGCTAGAGGAGTGCTTTGTAGGAGTCTATATATATGCGAAATAAGTGGGTAGTCTTGGCAACATAGACTATAGTAAGATGCATACAACTATAGCGACGACGCATCCGACTATAGTGACGACGCATCCGACTATAGTGACGACGCATCCGACTATAGTGACGACGCATTCAACTATTGTGTAACTACTGTAAACAATAGTCTTAGAGACTCTATAGACTACTATTGTAGCTTAAACAATTAAAATTTAGCTTTTTTACATTACTTAAACTATAAAAAGTATTCAACTTTTCTATTAGTGTATTAAAACTTAATTAGTAGATCTATTATTAATTAAAGTATAAAGTGCTAAAATTTTAATAGAGTCGACTATTTACTTGTATAGACCGCTCGCTTGTAAAATACACATAGAGTAGAAAATAGCTTAGCAATGTCTGTTTAGATGATTAGATAAAGTGACTCTGCTATCTAAGAGAGTTAAAGGCTCTTCTTATATACGCTAAGCTTCGGAACAAACTATCTCTAGATCCCGAGCCGCAGACTAGGCTGCAAGCTCTAGCTAAACCTCTTAGTATACGCGATAATACGTTATAGTAGAAAACTTTATTAAACAAGGTTTTAGATTTAGTAGATAAAAACTACTGTTTAACTAGCAATTGCTTTTAATTAATAGATGTTATTTTTATGTTAGTTTATACACTGTAGAGATGTGTTTAGAAGGTTAATTCTACAATCTTATAAGCTGCTGTAGTAGTATAAATTTGTAGATAAAAATCAACTTTTATTTAAATACAGTAAAACAAATTGCAATTTTTTAAAAAATAATTAGACTTATTGTTGTTAAGCTAGTTATAGTTAAAAAGATAGACGTATTTAATCACGTCTTAGTAGAGTGCGCAGCTTGCTAGAGTACACAGCTTGCTAGTAGAACACGTTATAGTAAAGCCTCTAAATAATGTTATTCAATTGCACATAGTATAAAAATTAGTTGTAGTGTTGTGTAATGTTGTTACACAAGCGTTCTAGTATAGAATAGTGTAGCGCTTAGTAGTAATACACGTTATTATAAATAATTAGAAAATAAAACAAAGAGAACTAGCTCTTTTTAGTAATTAAAACTAAAAACTTCTGTTTAAGAAAGAATATACATAAATTTACTATTATATTAAACCTTATATATATACTATTAATCTTAGAAGAGGAACGAACTAAAATAGGTTAGGATAGGTAAATTCTAAAAGAATTTACTAGGAAGAGAATTTAAAAAAAACTACAGCTCTACTATTTAAAAACCTAATGCAAATCGCTAAGATTGTAACAGCGCGTACCGCGTCACATGCTCTGCGGCTTCAGCTCCCTCACTTGCGCAACAAGTAGTGCCTTGGCAGGGAGCACACATGTATATCTTAAACTCGCAGAGCAGCTCCTCTGCTCCTTAGTTTAATCTAGTTAGGTTACACCACCTCTTGCTTGTAGCTTGAGCATGCCGATTGTGACAAAGATAATGCTACTATAATAGGTGGGCAGAAGTTGGGAGGCATATAGCTTGTTCTAAAGACAACTCTACCCTGGAAAGCAAGCTGATTGTACAAAGACCTACATTGTTAGTAGTGGTAGTACTAGCGCTCTGGTGGTCGTATTAGAGAGGGTTAGGTCTAGGTAAAGATTGCTCTTTGTTTATCGCTATTGTGTGAAAGTAGTTCACAATAGTCACGTGGTACTCGAATTCACTGTCTATCACAAGCCGCAGTACGACTCATACACGAACCAATTAGGTCCGGCTGCGGACCTGCATCACGTATCTGATGCCACGCGAAAGCAACTCCATATCTTTTCTATCTACACAACATTCAATATGCATGCTATCGCGTACATACAATCTCAATTATTCGTGACCAATTTGTGGCTCATTTTCTTCATATTTTCACTGACCGCTTCACCCACGTAAAGTTCAAATGTTGTAAAATACCATCGCACGAATAATTTTTAGCCTATTTCGTTCGGTAAAATTACATCATATTCATGCCTCTAATTCCTGATAATGTTGGGGTCCGTGATTAGTGTTCCAGGTCGCCCGAGTTTTGTCTCTCGATCCCCATATCGTCCGCCGTAATTGGTCTATCATGGCAAGGATTGTAGTTAAAAGTCGATAACTTTCGAGCCATCCCGGAAGACGAAAAGCCCTTGTCTGTGGCTTATTAGGATTCAATCGATCGTCCTTGGTCAAACACAGCCCTGGTTTTGGATCAGATTTGAGGGATCAGCCGCCAGAGGGTACGGAACCCGGACAAGGTGGTTAATTGCAGGGTATGCCTTTTACAGGGAGTGCACTGCGCCTTCCATGCCTAGTGCTCGCGAGGACCGGAGTGAGACTCAATGATCTCCGTTATGAATGTGGTCCCGCTCCTACGCTGAGGTCACCGAACGTAGTCTGCCTTAGCACCTTTCTTATTCAAGCCACACCCTGTCTTCATATATTAATTTTTCCCAAGGAGTTCTGTGAGGATATGATGATTTACTCTCTACCACCGTTTCGTCCTAGCTGACTTCAAAAATGCCGAGACATCAATTTGAGCCGTTGTTCGAGGATCTCGAGGGAGTGGTCTTAGTGGTACCTGCCATTTCAACACTGTGTCCAGATTGGCCGCTTGGCATCAATCCACACCTCGAGTCCATACAGGAGGAATTCTTCAATTGGGTGAATCAGTAAGAACTCCCACCCCTCGTTTCGCCCGCCTCGTTCTCTTGAGGGTTAAGAAAGATGTAATATCTAACTATTTCCGTTCTTACAGTTGGTTCAAGGAGGAGAGAATTCGGAAGAAAATCGCTGAACTGAATGCACCGGGTTTCGCTGCCATGAACTATCCCGGTGCAGCCAGGGAACAGCTACTTACGATGGCTAAATTAATCGCTTGGGTATAATGCTCACAACACCCATTCCTTAAAGATCGAAATGGCTGGCATAACTAGTACTTTCCTTGGGATGATGGTATTCCGTGTCTTTCTTTCATAGAGGAGGTAGACTAATTAGGACAGCTATCGACGATGGGTCATTATACCACATGCCCGAAGCTATTATGCGTTACCGTGACGAGACGATTGCTTTAGTGGAGCAAAGTCTTTCATGGAACCATGAACCACAAGAAAAGCCCCACCCCAATCCAGCCATCCAAAGCTTCTGGGACCTGGGTGTTGATATCCGCGCAAGAGGCACGCATGGTGCGTTTCCCTATTTCCTATTATATATTGGAGCAAGTAGCATCTACTAACTTCGGCGGTACTCTAGAAGCCAATGAGCAGTTCAGATGGGCTCAGTGCGCTTTCATTACGTCCAGTGTTCAGGGCCAGGTGGATCGAGAGCTTACTGAACCTGTTCTTGTTGAGCAATATCTCACACGCCGGGAGAAGAATATTGCTGTCTTCCCTCTCCTTTCGCTGATATAGTGAGTTCTGGTATCACAAGACAGGGTCCTTACCTGCTGACGACGCCTCAAGCTACAATTACCAGTTGGCGATCCCCCAGGAATTTTCATTCAAGGAGAACAAGCATATGAACCTAATGTGGAGGCTTTTAGCCCGGATGGGGATCATGTACGTTTTTGAAACTGCTTTGAAATACGGAGTGCTGAAGTACCTGATTGCACAGAAGTAATGATATGCTTTCCCTCCGGCGAGAAATTGTAAGCTCTGAACGTCGCCCTCTTTTGCATCGTGGTTCCATAACTTCGCTTTTAGATGCACGGCCAGTTCGAAAGTCTCATTCCACTACTCATGTACCACAATAACCTCCAGGCTCAAGAAGCCATGGCCATCGCAGGAGACATGCTGCATGAATGCTATATCAAATTCAATGAGGTAGAAGTAGAGCTATACAAGGAGATTCCAGTAGACTTCCAAACGACGATGAACCGTTACGTGAAAGCATGTAAAGACTTGATTGTATGCAATCTGCATTGGAGGTAAGGAGACTAATTCCGTCCCAAAGCAAGAATTGCGAGAGATTGATATGTTTCAATATAGTTACGGTCTCAAGCGATATATTGACGAGGGCATGTTACAGCCTGACGGAAGGGTCGTTTTTCCAATCAGGTTACCACCAAAAATCGCCGACGTCAAAAATAGAAATAGTGTAGTTAGCGCGGAACGCAAAACTACGATGGGCCACAAAGAAAGCAAACGTAGAACGACGTTGCAAAAATTCACATTTGGATGGTCTTCGGTTATCCGCAGGGCCATCGTTCCTATTGGCTTGGGAATAGTAGCGATGTTTGCAAAAGAGGCAATATCGATGCTCCGTCGCCCTAGCAGATGTTAAATGACTGAGATAGGGCGGGAATCTCTCCCTCATTAACAAATAAATAATTTTGAAAAGTCTTAAACGTCCACATTAATGTGTCATTCATATCATAGTCTTCGTCGCAACTTTTAGAGGCTTGTGCCGTCTCTCTTAGGAAGACATGCGTCTTGTGAAGGGGTTTAGTTCGTCCATGCATGCTTAATTGTGTAAGTTAAAAAATAGATTGGTTACAACAACTATAAATATAATTAGAATTTTATAATGTACACAATGTAACGGCGCAGGCAAGACAATGGGTCCGAATGCGGTATGAATCCACTCAGAGGCATATAGGAGTGCGTGGGGACTCAGAGACCTGGGAATACCAATGACACCTATAGGCCTTGTACGTAGGATATCAGAAAACTACTGAGCTAGCTACAGGGCGAGGTGCGACTAAATACATGAAGGAATAGGGGTACAGCAGGGGTCGGGGCCAGGTCGGGGTCGGGGCCGATACGGGGGCCTTCCGGAGGTTCCGGGCGACCTGAGATGGAACGAGAATTGTTACACTACCCCCCCCTCTGTAGACTGATAGTCCCTATTAGTAGTAATTATAGTACAAAGTATCGCTGTTATGTCCTCTGCCTTCTTCAACCGAACTAGTCTGATTCAGCTAGGTGTCCTTGCCAAGTATTCCTTCGCACTGCCAGCGGTGTCCTCCAAACCAAACGCCATGCGTGCGCGCCTGCTCTGATAGTGATCTGTAGATGTCCAGCCTGTCACTAATTAAAACTTGCCATTTGTTCCTAGCTATCTGTACAGTTATTAATCTTAGGCGTGCGTTTAGTAAGGTAGCATTAGGTATTGTTAGGGGTGCCTTAAAGGTCCCTTGCTATAGGGTAGCAGTGGTGATTTAAGGCATTATTAGGGGTGATTTAGTAGTCGATCGAGGTCTATTGGGACATGTTGCTATGCATCGACTCTGAATCGGGTGGGGTATGGCTTGGCTAGAGCGTATTTGACTCTAGGGTCAGGGGTTAGTAGTTAAAAGTTAGGCATTAGCGGTTGTCTCTAATCCTAATAGGTTATTAGTAGTCTCTAAGTTTCTACCTTAGCGCATTTTTTGCAACTTTTCTGAAGGCAATCCTAATTGCATGGGGATAGAAAGTTCTAAACCTAAAGGCTTTAGTTAACTAGAGGTTGATGGGATCTAGTCTATAGACTAAGTAATTTAATGTAACAGTGTGGAGGATTGCAACCTAAACTAAATCAGACGCGTCTTAGGCTTAGACGTAGTTAAACAGACAATTAATGCAATATTGTAACAAGGCTGTTACTAGCAAAAGCAAGTTTTCTAATATAATGTAACAGCGCAGGCAAGACAATGGGTCTGAATGCGGTATAAATCTACTCAGAGGCATATGGGAGTGCGTGGGGACTTAGAGACCTGGGAATACTAATGACACCTATAGGCCTTGTACGTAGGATATTAGAAAACTACCGAGCTAGCTACGGGGCAAGGTGCGACTAAATACATGAAGGAATAGGGGTACAGCAGGGGTCGGGGCCAGGTCGGGGTCGGGGCCGATACGGGGGCCTTCCGGAGGTTCCGGGCGACCTGAGATGGAACGAGAATCGTTACACACAACAGGTAAGTTGCTTACACACCTATGTTGCTTACTTTTACTAAGACTACACTAAACTACTTTTTTTATATTAATATATTTCTAATAACGCTACTTAAATATGTTAAAAGAATCTTAATATACCTTACACTTTAAGCTTTTAAATAAAATATAATACTTTTTAAGTAATATACTACAGCTATGTATAAAGTCTTTTAAAAGATAATAAATAACTAACATATGTAAGGCCGGGATAGCGCTTACGTGTAAGGCCGAGATGGTGCTTACGTGCGACGGGTATATATACTATTCTGTACGCAATAATTAACGTTGGTTGATTATTCGCACCTTTTTGGTTGTATTGGCGTAGTGGTACAGAGCTCCGTTCTTACAACATACTAGACTACTTTTATAAGCTTATTCTATAGCTAACTTATAATAGCTAAATAATAATAAAAAATAAGTAATTATTAAGCATATACTTAAGCTATATATATAAGAATTTTTTTCTTAGCTTACAGCTATTGCTAATATAGCTAATTCTTTACATTCTAAGTATAATCTAGGCTATGTTAGTATAAACTAGCTTAGTATGTTTATATAGTATTACCTAAAGCTTAAAGTAAAGTTTAAGTATAACTATAACTATAAAACAGCTTTTTATAAATTTTTTAAATTAATTTAAAGCTAAGTATAGCATTTAAGATAATAATATATATAACTTTAATAAAATAAGCTTTATAGTAAGCTAGATATTTACTAACTATACTTATACTTAAAACGTTACTTTAAGCTTTAAATAACACTTTATAAAAATACTAGGCTAGTTTATGCTAATATAGCCTAGATTATACTTAGCGTGTAAAGAATTAGCTATATTAGCTATAGCTACTAGCTAAAAAGAAAATTCTTATATATATAGCTTAAGTATATGCTTAATAATTACTTACTTTTTATTATTATTTAACTTTAATAAGTTAGCTATAACATTAGCTTATAAAAGTTATTTAGTATATTAGTTATTTATTATTTTTTAAAAAACTTTATACATAGCTATAGCATATTACTTTAAAAGTGTTATATTTTATTTAAAAGCCTAAAGTATAAAATATATCTAATTTTTTTTAGTATATCTAAGTAGTTTTGTTAGAAATGCATTAGTATAGAAAGAGTAATTTAGTAAAGTCTTAGTAAAAGTAAGCAACTTAGGTGTGTAAGCAACTTGCCTGTGGTGTACGTTAATTGTTATTAGTAATATTTATCAGCGATATATTTATCGTTGCCCAGTCAGCCAGCAGGGTGTAGGGAGGGCATGGACTAAATCCGCCAAGGCATTTTTTATCGAGATCCAGTCAGCCAGACGCTATGACTATCGATCAGGCTTACGATGCGAAGCACAGGCCAAGGGGTCTAGATCGACATCCGTAATTGCAAGAGTCACTAGTGCAATGTCCATGCTCCAGGTGGCGGCCGTTGTGGTGACCCCGCTTCCTGCACCCTGGTATGTACTGTACAAGGGGGTGACCTGTTGGTATGCCTAGTTCCACGCTACCGTCTTGGCATTTTCAATGAGCTGAAGAATTCTCAATTCTGTCGATGTTTCCATTTCACATATCCTCCATTAGCCGCAATAACTACCAGGCACCGTTTTCTCATGCTATGTACATATGTACATACTCCGGGAAGTCTGAGGGATCAAGCTTGGGGCCCACTCCTGCGCATATTGCCTAACCTCCTCTATGGTCTTCAGGAACCTCTTTCCGCTGCGGTGCTTCAGTATCCATTATACGTTCTCAATAGGGTTCAAATCTAGCGAGTTGACATGCCATCCCATTCGAAGAACGTCTTCCTGTTCATGCAGGGCAACTGTATCCTTTGATATACAAGCAGAGGCCCAATCCTCCATCAAAATTGGTACTTGAAGAGTAGCGCTACGACTCCTCCCAAAGTCATATATCGCAGATACAATACGATGGCGATACACTCCTCCATGTAGAGCACTCCATTCCTTTTCAAACACAACAAGCGATACCTTGCCGTAGGTAGTTATACAGCACCCTGCCATATACGCCGAATAGCCCCGAAACTTGGGTCCACAGCAGGCCAGCAAGTACTTCTCCTCGGCTTGACGAGTATTGTACACTTGACCGAATGATCCATATGCGATTAAACACTCATCTGTCTATATGACTAGTGCCCATCCAAGTCGATCCCTCATCTGTTTCTGTCAGAAACGGGTTCTCGGTCCCCACAAGGCCCTAGCACTGCTCTTTTTCGAATGTCACAGTCAGGGTACCCTGCAACACTACATGGCCTCTAATGGTCCCATATGATGTCTAAACTGAGGTTCAAGGCATTCACTAGTTCTACTTCCCGCAACGGTACGTCCGCTAAAGTAATCGACCTCTGACCTAATCTAGGATGCAAAATATTATCTTTATTCGGTGGTATCCGTAACATGAATCGGCCTGACTATAGTCTAGCCCAGTTCAGGTTAAAGAACGGTGGCTTCATGGCCTTGGACTGTTGTACTTGCTTTTACGTCTGGTACGTCATAATCGGTGCTCGTGATGACACTCTCCCACTCATTGCACAACTCCAAATACTTGACGTACTTGTTGCGGAGCGTTGCCAGAGCATCCTTCCCAATGGGTAAACGCAACGGCTGGGTTTTTCCTGCAGCTACGCCTTCTTCCTTGACAATATCAATCATGATATTGACGGCCTTCTCAGGATCCCCTGGCTGATTCGAGTCTGCTTGTCCAAGGAAGTTGTAAATCATTTCATTCAGATCTTTGTAAGCATCGACAGTTCGTGGGACTGCTTTGAAGTTGTTGGTATCGAGGAGTTTCGTACGGAAATGGCCGAGCTGGAACAAATGCGACCTGACGCCAAAACCTTCCGTTTCAAGCTTGATTGATTCGGCAACACCTATTGTCAAGTCAGTAGACATGTCATGTTCTAGAGATATAGATAGCCTACCCTCAAGAGCGAATTTGCTTGCGCAGTAGGCCGCGCCACCAACCTCTCCTGCAATGCCACCAAGAGAACCTACGTAAACGATGACGCCGGACTTCTTAGCCCGAAAATGTGGCAAGAGAGCGCGGGTGGTGTTGATGGAACCAAAGAGATTTGTATTAAACTGGGCGATGAATCGTTCCTGGCTGTATTAAAATTTAGTGTTAGCAGAAGAAGCACAAGGCCAGATCCAAGTGCGTGTCCTTACGTGACTTCTTCGGCTATACCGGCCTCGATATATCCGGCACTATTTACAACGACATCTATCCCGCCATAGAGAGCTATAGCTTCTTCCACTTTCGCATTGATGTCAGCCTGGGAGGCTGTGACGTCAAGCGAGAGAACGGCCGCTCCAGCGTCCTTAAGTGGAGCTAATCGTGCAACATCACCACGAGCAGTGGCAATAGCACGATCGCCCCGTGCGAGTATACGTCTCACGAAGACCTCTCCAAACCCAGAGGAGCACCCAGTTACCAACCAGGTAAGTTGAGTCATTGTAATAGGTATCAAATTAGATGCTGCTGTTCGACCACGGTTGAGGGCTGAACAGTTTAATTTTTCAAGCGAAGGAATTGTGGACGCTGCAAATTATGGGAATTGTCTCGTATTAATGCAATCGGCAAGGGCATGAATTGGCAAGGCTCCACCGCAGGGGAAAATTCCGTACTAGAGAGTCAAGAAACAAATAGAGATGGGAGAGAGCTGACTTAACGAGTACTCCCGCACACCAACTGCAACTTATAGCCGCCTTCCCCTGTCCACACCATATCTCGCAGGGGTAGGGAGATTATTGAGTAATAACATGTTTGGGAGGCGCAGGAGCTAGGCTAGGTTGAGTCGGCGAAGCTCAAACGGGCCAAACGACTGGGTTTTGAGCTGAACGTGATCTCTCTCAGCCAGTTTTGCCGCGCGAGAGATTGTCTCTCCCTAGCTCCGCTATGAACTATCAAGATAACTAAATAACCGTGTTAAATCGGTGCGACAGTTTCGAGAGGTGCTGGCGAGGGCGGTGTTGCGTGGTGTTGCAAACAGAGATTTCTCCTCGGTGCGCAAAAGCCGAGCTGCTCGAGCGCATGGACCACCATCTTCTTCACCTTGTCCACTATCTGCAGTCCTGCAACGCATCCTGCAGCCTGGGTTGAGTCAATGCGGTAGAACGGCACGGAGCCTTGCTACTACAAGGGGGGCTCATGTACGGGTTGCCCCCTCCCCCCCTGTCGACGCCACTTGGGGGCCAAATTTGACGCTGAATCTCACAATCCTTCTCCCTGATCTTGTCACGGTTATGTTACAGCTATCCAACCCCTGAGTACCCTAGGCTTGGCACGGGGTATATAGGCTCCTCGGCCTCCGTACCTCTGCCTCCGACCCTAAGGTTTACTCTCGTTACCCCCCCTATCCTGCATTCCCTCTCTGTGACCTGTGTTTCCTGCTCGATACCTCTCACAGATCTCCTCCTCCTCATTAACATACCTACTTTACAAAGTCTACAATGCTCTCCCTCCACTGTGTACAGCTAAATTAAACCTAAGCGCGCGATTGCGTAGCTACACCTGCCTCCTCTACTAGCAATTAACTATCCTATTACTAGCGTGTTAAAATCCTTACGCTGCGTAACTTTACAGGGTAGAGATATACCTGTATTAGCACCTCTTTATAGATACCTTAATTAACTGTATAATATATAATTAATTACCCTAAAACGCCTTAAAAGCTGCAAAGTAGAGCTTCTATTCTTAATACTTTAAAGTAACAGCGCTTAATACAACATGCAACAATTAATAGATATTATAAAAAACTCCCCCTTACTAAGATAGCTACTTTTAAGGGTATAGAGGCTTGTAAGTGTACACTTTTTACTGCATTTAAGAAGAAAAGATACTTTTACTATGTAGCTACTAAAAAGCCTCTTTTTACAGAGAATTACTACTAGAATTAATTACAGTAGGTCTATACATATAAAGATTAGACTAATTAGCAGTAGGCATGTGTAATATAGATAGATAAGTGCTTAATTGCCTGTAGAAGCTTTAAAAAGGTGTACATAACTTGCTAGGTAGAGGAGAAGTATCTACTAAGCTATTGTGTACCTAAATTTTAAGGTTATTCTGTGTGCATAATATAGGCCTGTATAACAAGCTACAGCAAAGGGCCTCTTGTAGTAATAGAGAAGGATTAGAGTAACATCTACAGTAAACTCTACTGTAGGGAGATTATACCTATAATTTATAAGTTTAAAGAAGTCTATAAATTAGTAGCTATAGTGCCTATTTTAATAGAGGATAAAGCCTTATTTTATACAGCAAAGAGGACTTAAGCTTTACATAATAAGCTTAGGATCCTCTGTATAGTATAGCTAGCTAATTTACCTAATTTAAACCTAATTAAGAATGTGTAGAGGGTCTTAAAGTATTACGTTAGCAGAAGGTTTCTGTTACAGCCAACGAACCGACTGTAAAAATCCAATCAGCTGTTCCTCACAGCCTAAGCGACATCGGGTGGAGAACATTTGACTCCGTACTAGACGGATCACGTGACAGGACAGATGAGGAATGGCTCCGGCTTTTAGACAAAAGCCTAGCGGAATGTGTCATCTAATGAAGCCACGAGCATTGCAGGCTTGCAGGCTATGCAGGCTATGCAGGCAACAAACATACAAACATGCACAACATGCACTGCATGCAAACCCCATGTATATAGTTTCGATCACGACCATAGTTAGAAGGCTGTGATTACCATTAAGTCTTTACATACATAATAGACTAAGAGATGTTAACACCTTTCTAAAGAGGACAACACCGCCTTGTATATCTTGCACTATATATACCTCCATTCCTATCCATTTGGATCGGTTTGCCAGCTCCCCATACAGCCGCTGGGCCAAACCACAACCTGCCTTCTTCCTCCCCTCATTACCTATACTCTGCCGGACGGACTGTACACCCGATCTAGCTAAGTCCTTCCCTTCCTCCCCCTAACAATAACATAGGCCGTAGTGCTCCTGAAAATACCATTTCTGTTACAATCCTTACTCTGATAAAATGGTATTTTCAGGAGTACGACAGCCTATGGGGTGTTTAGCGAAAAAGGGGGGAATAGAACTTAGCTAGATCAGGTGTACAGTCTGTTAAGCAGAGTGTGGGGTAGGCGTGATAAAGAAGGCAGGTTGTAGTTTAACCTAGCAGCTGTATAAAAAGCTAGCAAACCTAATCTGTAAGGATAGGAATAGAGGTATATATAGTGCAAGATATACAAGGCAGCAATGTCCTTTTTATAAAAGTTTTAATGCCTCTTAGTCTATTAAGTAAGTAAAGACTAAATAGTAATTACAACCTTCTAACTATAGTTGTGATTAAGACTATATACATAGGTTTTGCATGTTTTGCATGCTTGCATGTTTACATGCTTACCTAGCCTGCATAACCTGCAAGCCTGCAAGCCTGCAAGCCTGCATGTCCTATTAGATAATGCATTTAGCAAGGCTTTTCTTTAAAAGCTAGAGCTATTTCTTATCTATCCTATCACGTAATTCGCTTAGCGCAGGGCTAAGCGTCTTCTATCTAACATTGTTTAGGCTGTGTGGGACAGCTAGTTAGGTTATTATAGTCTAACTGTTAGCTGTAACACGCAGGCTTCCCTTCTAGTTAGCGTCTTTACTGTTACATTTTTCTTGTTATAAGCGTTAGATTTTTTTTTTAGCTAGTATATTTCCTTCCTTAAAGGCTAGTCCTATGTTAAACCTTTTTAACTATGCCTTGCTAGGCTTCTTGTTCTTCTGCTGTTGTCTGTTGCCTTTATACTGTTACTTGCCTTAATCCTCTTTATTATACAAAGATGCGTCCTTATAGTGCTTATTATTTAAGCAGGTCCTCTTACGTAATGTCTTTGTTATTAGACAAGTATGTAAAGTGTGTGTAAAAAAGTAGTTATTATAACACTTTTATGTCTAACACAGCCTAAGATTGTCTAGAACAGGAGCGCAAAAAGCTGTTAGCAGAGTTAGAGGTAATTTAAAAAGATAAAATGCGCAAAAAGAAAAAAAAGGTAAAGATAAAAAAAAAGTTTTTAAAAAAGCAGAAAAATTTACTTGCGCGTCTTTAGTCTTCTATTACTTATTAGAAGAGGGTGTAGCAATAATTAGATCTTTTAGTAGATTAAAAGGCAAAGTATCTAAAAAAAGACTTTTTATTACTAGATAAGCTTAAAGCGCTTAAAGTAAAAGTAGCTAGTTTTCCTCCTTCTTAACTTATATTAAAGGGTTGCAGACTTCCTACATTGCAGCTAGCTAGTGCTGCTGTAGTTTTAACTAATAATAGTGTTTTCTAGTCTAAAGAGCTTTCTCTTAAATAGTTTTGCTTAGAAGGGACTCTAGGTATTTGTAAAGGGCCTAAGGAGCGTTTAACAGGCTTTTAATAAGTTTTTAAGTATTTTTACTAGTAAGCTATTCTTTCTATTTTACTAAGTACTTATTTTCTTTATAGTCTAAGATTTTTTCTACTTTATATTTTTTTTCTTCTTCTTTCTATCTAGTAGTTATAAGTAGAATAGTCTTAAGTATAAGTTTAAGCTTAGAAACATAGAACTAAGGATGTATTTGCATTTTTTTTAGTAGTTTAAGTTTACAAATGCTAGAGCATGTTTATATAACTCTGTATAGTCTTATACGCTTTTTAGCTAGCTTTCTAGAGAGTCTTAGTGTTTTAAAATTCTTTATGTCTAAATACACATAATTATTAAAGTGTATTTCTAGTGCTAGTTCTTTTTGTTAGTTTACTACTTTTTTTTATAGCTTTCTAAGCTAACTGCGCTTCTCTAGTAAGTTTCTAATACAGTTCTAAAAGTCTAGTTGCGCAGTTTATAGCTTTTAAAAAGTTAGTTAGTTATAAGCTATAAAGTTTATATTATAAAGAGTATCTAAAATTAGCTTTATATAGGGTTTCTTTAGTTATAGCTAATTCTATAGTATTAATAGCAAATTATGCTATTAGTAGCTATTCTGCCTAGTCTGTTTGTTTATACAACATGTACTTGCGTAGATACTTTTTTACTTCTATGTTTACTTTTTCTGTTTGTCTGTCTATTTATAAGTAGTAGGCAGTAAAAAGCTTATAGTTAATTTTAAAATGTTTAACTACAGCTGCCTAGAATTTACTAGTAAATAATTTATTATAGTTAAAGATAATAATCTTAGGGTAGCTATAAGTAGCTAAGACATTCTTTTCTAGTTTAAACATAAATTCTTTAGCTGTAACGCTCTTTTTTAATAGCTATAAATAAATAAATTTAGTTGTTTTATTAATAACTTATGTAATTATATTATAAAGTCTTTCTGTACTAGGTTCTTATAATAGCAGCAGTTTAGTAATAAAATCTATAGTTATTATAGTCTATAGTTAACCTAGCGCTGTAATTAGTTAGAGTAGTCTATAAAGTTTATAGTGTTAGAGATTATTCTTATTACAGATGTTACATTCTTGTAAGACTTTAGTGCATAGGTGTTTTAATTAGAGCACCTCTTAAAGTATAGCACTTTTAATTTTCTTCTGTAGTAATCTAATTCCTAGGTGTCTAAACATAGAGGCTTTATAATATTCTTTTATTAAGTTCTTTTATCCTTATTTAACTATTGTAAGAGAACATAGTAGTTTTACTTAGTTTAGTCCTCTATAGACTAGTCTTTCTAGAGTTTCTTTAAAGA